AATAAAAATACCAAGAAGAAAAAGAAAAACCATAAACAGCGTATTTTAGAATTTAGTTCTTGTTTTAAGTTTAAAACTCGCACCTCTAGTATGTTCTTTAAGCCGGGTCTACAATTGCCACAGGGGTCCGATAGTTGTCTACAATTGTCACGCGAAGAGCGAAGAATCCTAAATTATGAAGGGGCGATAAATCATAAAAATGCAGTTGGGATTCAATAATTTAAAAAATGTGCTTTAAAGGAGGCCAAAATGGGGCTTCAAAAGAACTGAGGGAATCACAAAAGAATGTTTTAAAGGAGTCAATTAATAAATAATTATCCTAATAAAAATGAAACATTGGAATTAAAGCTTTTGTTCTATAATTTAGTACAATAACTATTATAAAGTACTGTAATATCAAAATATTATTTTGATATGGCAGTACTTAATAATTGTACTAAATTATATAAATATATCATATATTTAATTAAAAGTGGCCGCGAAATTCTAAGAAATTATTTGAATACATATATTATAATATCACTATGGTAAGTATAATTGCTTTTTAACTTTTCACAATTCTCCTTTGTTAATCCACTTTTAAATCCAATGTTAATTGTTTACTTACATACATAATTATTTAAATTAATCCCAACACAATATTTTTAAAAAACTTTATAAGGGCATAAATTACTCTGAATAGTTTTATTGTTTGTAATAATTTTAAATCATATAGGAGGCATCCAGCTCAAGTGTTTTAAAAATGTTGTAAACTAAACTTTTTAAATCATTAGACTATTAATAGAATATTGTATAACAATGGAGAAAGTTGGCCATTTCCATGAGAATGAAATATGAGTGGAGTAATTTAATCGAATGAAAATGACAATTTCGCAAGAGTTGAACACTATACTTTTTCAAATTTTATTAAAGAATATAAAAATATCGTCGTCTTATTGTACAAGACCAGTGAGAAAAAAATAAATTTTATCCACAGTTTAAGACAGCCTTTTTCTTAACTGAAAGTGGACTTATTCTTTAATATAGTTAGAAAATAGTATATTCTGTAACAAGTTTGGAATACGGCATATTCCGCTCGAGTGAAAAGTTTGTCACACGAGCCAAAGGCGAGTTTGACGGTTTCACGAGAGGGGAATATGCAATTCCAAACGTGTTTCAGACTATACTTTTTCTACGTTTCCAAAAAATACTATAGACAAATAATTTAATTGGAAGAAAGTGAGGGGAATATGCAATTCCAAACGTGTTTCAGACTATACTTTTTCTACGTTTCCAAAAAATACTATAGACAAATAATTTAATTGGAAGAAAGTGAGGTTGGATCGGTCTAAAATTTGTTAGATATTAAAAACAGAGATGTCACCACGAGTGTATATTATGTAATCAGATGATAGCATATTTCATTCTGTACCACTTTACGGAATAAATATCATTCCATAGATAAAAGTGATATTAGAACGGTCATATTCCATAATAGGAGTAGAAAAACTATATTCTCTGTGTGTATGACATGCAGGGACCCCGAGATGCAGGGACTCACAGTTTGAACTCTTTTCATGGCTGTTGATTTTCTTTCAATTTTAACATCAACCAAAAGTGATGGATTTTAATTGATAAGTAACGATTCTTATATAATTTTTTCGTACGAAAAAAATTATTGAAACTATGTAAAAACAAAATTTCGAAGAGAAAATCCACATTAAAATATATTTTTACGGATTTGCGACATTTTTTTTTTCATTTTTAAAATGGAATGAAAATATTTAAATAATGAAAAAATGCTTAAAGAACGCCGGAAGCGCGCGCTGGTCAGGGATTGCTTCCATAGTCTGTAGCTCAGTTATTAAATGTGTTGGAATTTTAATATTTTATATATACTTTAACCAAAAAAGGAGGACGTCTTATTTTTTTTTAATTGGATGCCATTTTTTTTTAAACTTATTTGTGTAACCATTATGCTTAAAAGCATAGTCTTACAATTTATTTAAAATCGGTTTGGTGATTTTAGAGATACTCGACTCGCAAGAGCGCGCGGATCCGGCGTCCGGCCTTTTTTCATCATATAAATATGTTCGTACCATTCGTACCAAACTTATCTATCTTAAAGAAAAAAAAGCTTTCTTCGTAGATAACTTTAAAAATTTCAAAAATGTCGCAATTTCCAAAAAATATGTTTTAATGTGGTAGAGGTTCTACCGTAGAGCTAAGGTCCGAAAATTGAACAAAAGTTATAGGGCGATTCTATGATTACTAACGGGACCAGGGGCAGACCGTTGACTTTGGGGGCCCTGGGCCAGAGTTCTTTGGGGGCCTATCAATAATAATAATTATTATATATGTATATATATATAAATAAATAAAGTATCACAAATCAAATACCTGGGTATAATAATTGATGAACATCTGCGATGGAATAAGCATATAACATATATAAATAACCAATTAAGATATTTGATAAATAAATTTTATCATCTACGAGACATTCTTAATCGTAAGTGCTTGTTTTTGGTGTACAATTCACTTGTTGAGTCAATATTAAGATATTGCATTACAGTCTGTGGAGGCTCGTTTCATAATGTTTTAAAAATACTTCAAACAACTCAAAATTCGATCCTTAAAGTAATTCTGAAAAAAAACAAATGGTACTCAACAAGTGAATTGCAGATCGAAGCAAACATGTTAAGTGTTAGAAATATATACAAATCACAATGTCTAATATGGATGCTGGATAATGATCAATTTACTAACATTTCTAATAAGTATAATACCAGAAGCATGGAAAATAATGAAGTTATTACACCCTTATACAAAAAATCTCATCTACAAAGATGCATTAATTATTTTGGCCCTAAACTTTATAATGCCCTTCCAATAACAATTAGAAACAAAAAAATGTAAATAGCTATAAGAAAAGTTTAAAAACATTCTTGTTGCAAAACATGAACTTTTGTGACGATCTATTTTAATGCTCCTACAACTACTACACTCCTTGTTTCAGCATATTTAATGAAATATTTGATTTTATTTTCTTAATTTTTTTGTTTAAAATTGTAAAATACCTATTTATTTTTAACGTCTTTTCTTGGGAAGAAGCAATACAACCATGTATGGTTAGGCACTCCCACGAAAATAAATCGTTATATTTATCTTTTTAAAATATGTTATATAATGTAAACATTTATTTAATAAATAATTTGAAATAATTTGAAATATAACAAAACAACAAATTCTTACATCAAAAATAAAAAATAGATAATAATAAAATATACAAGGTGTCTCGATAAGACAGGCCACCTATTTCTTGGTTTAAAATAATTTAACTTCAACTTACCTATATAAAAATTTCTTTGTTAGTGTAGCTGCTAACGGCCTTTAAAATATGTTAAATTTTCAACGTTTGGCCTGTGTGGTGTATACTATTTTTCTTTATACATCGGTCGAAAGTACTTACTTTCGTCCCTTATAGCAGGGACGAAAGTTTACCTTGGTCGAAAGTACGTAGGTACTTTCGTCCCTAATAGCACAGGGAGTAAATGTTAAACTTTCGTCTCTGCTATTAGGGACGAAAGTAAGTACTTTCGAACAAGGTATGAAGAAAAATATTATTTAATACTGCAATATACACTGATTAACAAAAATCGATCATTTTTTTTCAATCAAATGTAATAGCCTTATGAGCCTGTTAAAACATCACTCATTAATATTATTAGTTGCTAATCGCGATTTTACATTTAAATTAAGGTACATGAGATTTTTTTATTTTGGAATTTTGGACTTGTTAACGGGTTAATAGACTAAAATAATTAGAAGTTTTATTTTAGAAAATTAAACGCTCCATAATAAAGTTTACTTTTTATTTTATGATAAACTCGTTAAAAAGTTTTAAGACTTAAGACAAATTCATGGTAAATTTTAAGTTTTTCTTACTTTTCCAGTAAAACAATCAGACTTGACAATGTTGACAATGATCATACATTTTTTGTAGATCATTTTATTTTCTTTGAAAATATGTCATTATTTTTATGTCATTTTATTTATGAATTACTGGTTTAACCAGTATAAATACAAATATTGTCTGCAAAAAATTAATATTATTTTGAAACTAATTAGTATTTAATCAGAAATATTAAATTAAAAAGTAAAAAAACTTGAAATTTACTATAAATGTAATTTTAACCTTGAATAACTTTTGAACAAGTAGATTTACTATAAAATAATAAGAGACCTCTTTGTAGAGCGTTTACTTTAAATACTCTTTAAAAATATTATTTTTAAAATATGTTGTTTTCTTTTACGTGCATTTAAGTTAAAAAGATATAATTCTAAAGTTATTTTTTTTGTAAATGAAAAAAGAAAATCGCGATAAGGGGCCTCACAATAATAATATTAAGAGCTGAAATTTAAACAAGCTCAATATTTAAACTTTATTTAACTATATTATGGTATATTTTTTAATCAGTCTGATTTATATATTTTTTATTAATCGCATAGGGGGCCCTCGATCGGAGGGGGCCCTGGGCTGCAGCCCATAATGCCCATCCCTAAATCCGCCCATGAACGGGACAAACAAAATCAAGACAAAATGTTTTATGAAAATTTTAAATATTTGTTGTTCATATAATAATAATAATTTTATAATAGTTATTTTTACCTAATTTCATTGCTGAGGACTGGCGTAAAATTATTATTATAGGAACAACACATCTTCATTTTGGTTTTTTTGTTTGTCCCGTTAGTAATCATGGAATCGACCTATAATGGTTTTAAATTGATTTAATTTGCTGTTGCCAAGTATTTTTAATTTTTTTGAACATAGCTTGACAAGATTACAAATTTAATTTTTTTAATTTTTTGTATGATGTTTGTTTTAAAATTCAGAATTTACTGCTTCCTTGGGTAAGAATAGCTTATAAATAAAATAAAGTAGGATAAATATATAAAGACCTGGATTATACTTAACTTAAAATATAATATACAAATTAATAAATGAACAAACTAGATATTGACAGCATATTACACGTTAAAAAACTAAATCCTGGGTTCGGTGGCAGTTTGGTTCCATAATGTCGACAATGTATTTGTTTTAGTGTGTTGCATGGATTTGGGTGGCCACGATGGGGATATGCGGCACGCTTCTTTGCACGACTGCATTAAAACCTACATGAGGACCAGCGGTATAATCCACAGTTCTTCTGGAACCATCAGGTTCACTTAAACTATACTGCCCACGAACGTTATCTCCTTGTCTGGTTTCATGTTGACTCTTGGAATCACCGGTGCTTTGATCGTTTACAGTGTAAGCGTAGCTATAGTGAGGGTTTGGATCATAGGGTTCTACGCTGGTTTGCACTACTGGCACTATGTGTTGTTGTTGGGCTATTTGAACGTGTGGTGTGACCACTTGATGAACTTGAGTGACCACTGGATGATGTTGCTGTGTGTTGTAACTTGACTGTTGTCCGTGACTTATGAGTCCGCAATTAACCACTGCTAAAGTAGCAGCTAGAGCGAATAACTAAACAAAAATAAACTTAATTTATTAACAATAGAAAAAATGGTAAATTGTTTAATTTACGATTTATTTTATTATTGTGGTATTAAAAAGACCATAGACTACTAGTATCCACTAAAATGAGTATTGCTGATATGATTTTCTTGATTCTTTCCGTTTCAACATTTAAAAAAATAAAACTACCATAATAATAAGCATAACTTTAAATCATATTATTTTTACCAAAAAACTATTAAATAATATTGATTTTGTTACTACAAAAGAGTTACCTGGTCCCCTGGTTCATATAGTATTTTTAAAGTATATTTAAATAAAAACTATGGTTCTCAGTCGTATGTTTAAAGTTTAATGTAAGCAAACGACAAGTGTATATAAGAAAAAAACATATATATAAAAAATATTTGTATGATTTTCACTTACCTTGCACGTCATGTTTGCAGTTGGGACGTGTACCGAGCAGTTTTATGGTTGTTTAGCAACTGATAAGAGTTCAGGGTGGTACAGGGTCTTTTATAGTTCTAAATGGACAATGTATACTGATACCGGGTTATGCAACTGGCTCCGGTCGTCGGCGATAGTGGCCGTTCTTGAACACTATACGATACTTCTGGGAAAATGTGTGCGAGACTTGTGAGCTGGGTTACGCGCTGTAAGTGCAGAGTTATGTCGGCACGTCCAAACGGAACGTGTCGTTGCCTAATTTGTCAGTTTTTTGAGAACAAACTCAAACATAAAAAGTTTAATTGGGGTTTTGGGAGGCATGCTTTTCTGGCGCTTTTTCTACTTAAAACTGCCTGCCTGATTATTACGTGACCTTGAACAAGTTTTAAATTACACCTTGCAAAAAATATAAATCGATAAAGGCTAAGAAAAGTACACAGTAACTGTAAAACCTAATGTTTCCTTTGGCACATTTAAAATTATTGGTAGAAAAAAATAAATAAAAATAACAGGAAAAATCAACATTTTAAATCACACTAAAAATAATGAAAAAAAGGCAGTACATGTAAATGTAATTTTAAAAAGCCGTTGAGAAAATGTAACAAAACTTCAGTTTTGTTACATTTTCTCAACGGCTATTTAAAATTTTACGGAAACTAAGGTTTTAGATTTGATTTTTCATAATTTTTTATACAAGGTATATTCAGAAAATAACGAATATTTCTGTTTTTTAATAAATTTAATATTTGTCTACAGCAATATTATCTCCTTAAATTTATATTTATTAGGTATTGTAATTCCAGCGCTGCTTCCAATCCCCAAAGCACGGGGTCATATTTGGCAAATATGGAAACTGCATGCTGCAGCTTTTAGAAAACAACACCTAAATGATGCCATTTATAGGATAACTAAACGCCGTTTTATTATTCAATAAAACTAAACAAAACTTTCGTTAAATAGTAAAACGGAGCTTCAGGGAAAGACCCTTTAAATTGATATAAATATTCAATGGTAATTGAAAAATCTACAAAAATATAAAATCATTACGAAGATTAAAAAAATGCAATGCTAATTTGTTTCTAAAACTAAATAATGCTACATACTAATAACCCAAATAATATTCTTACCAATAATTAAGGGTTGTAAAAAATATTTTTTAGTTTGTTTGTTTGTCGAATTATTGCAATGATGAATGAAGTATTGCAAAAATAAATAGTTCTGATACAACCTACTTTTGTTTAAAATACTCTAAAAGTCAAATAATTTTTTGCAATTATCGTGTAGGTATTGGAAAAAATCATTTTTTACTGTAAATATAAATATTTTTTTAATTTGGAGATCCATTTTATAGCAGTAGTAATAGATATTTAACTCAATGTTTATGAAATAATAGCACTTCTCTGCTTTTGTTTTTATTTATTTATTTTAAAAACCCGACTAGTTTCGGTTATTATTAACCATCTTCAGGGGTCTCTACAATAGTAAAATACACTTATTATTGAACAAATTATTAAAATCATGGTTAAAATTACTTACACGTCAAAATTTCTTTAAAATACACAGATTAACAAATAATTATACATTTTTTTGATTTAAAACTTTATAACTATGAGGTGTTTGTAAATTATTATATTAAAATCGTAGATAGAATGTAAATAAAATTAATTTTAAACGAGCATTTTAGGGTTATGTTATGTCTTTATATATACTGGTTGTTTCTGTTTTTGTATGTACTGGTTGTTTCAGATATTTAAATATTGGTGTATAATATAGGTTCACTTGTTCGTTAAGACTTTTATATTTCTTGTCGTGTGCATGTTTATCAATTTCCATTGCTTCTAATAAGGTTAGTTTATAGTTTTTATCTTGAATATGTAGGATTTTTACTCCTTCTTTTTTATTAAATTCGTGGTTTTCTTCTATGAGATAGCTGCCGAAATTGGAATTTTTATTTTTAAGGTGTTCTTTGATTCTGGTTTCGAAGCTTCTCCCTGTTTCACCTATGTATACAGCATTGCCATCTTTGCATTCAAGTTTGTATACTCCGTTCTTTTGTAGATAATAAATGCACAAATACATTAACACACAACACAAAAATATAAAATTCACAATAGAAAAAGAAACTGAAAGAAAAATCAACTTTTTAGATATAACCATAAACAGAAACACCTCAAATTACAGCTTTAATATATACAGAAAACCAACCACAACAAGTGCAATTATACCACAAAACTCCTTCCACTGTTGCCAACATAAATACTCCGCTTTTTACAGCATGTTCTATAGATTAAACAACATACCTGTTTCTGACATTGAACGACAAAAAGAGACAAATATAATACTACAGATTGGAAAAGAAAATGGATACAATGAAAAAACAATAATGAAAATTCAACAAAGAATAAAAATGAAGAACATATTAAAACTAATTAACTTACAACATAATGAAAAAACAACATACCAATATAGAAAAATATCCTATCAAGGTCCACTCACAAATAATATCAACAAAATATTTAAAAAATACAATCTAAAAGCCGCAATAAGAACAGAAAAAACAATTTACAACAGCCTTAAAAACGCCAAAGACCAAACAAATTTATTACAAAAGAACGGAGTATACAAACTTGAATGCAAAGATTGCAATGCTGTATACATAGGTGAAACAGGGAGAAGCTTCGAAACCAGAATCAAAGAACACCTTAAAAATAAAAATTCCAATTTCGGCAGCCATCTCATAGAAGAAAACCACGAATTTAATAAAAAAGAAGGAGTAAAAATCCTACATATTCAAGATAAAAACTATAAACTAACCTTATTAGAAGCAATGGAAATTGATAAACATGCACACGACAAGAAATATAAAAGTCTTAACGAACAAGTGAACCTATATTATACACCAATATTTAAATATCTGAAACAACCAGTACATACAAAAACAGAAACAACCAGTATATATAAAGACATAACATAACCCTAAAATGCTCGTTTAAAATTAATTTTATTTACATTCTATCTACGATTTTAATATAATAATTTACAAACACCTCATAGTTATAAAGTTTTAAATCAAAAAAATGTATAAGTATTTGTTAATCTGTGTATTTTAAAGAAATTTTGACGTGTAAGTAATTTTAACCATGATTTTAATAATTTGTTCAATAATAAGTGTATTTTACTATTGTAGAGACCCCTGAAGATGGTTAATAATAACCGAAACTAGTCGGGTTTTTAAAATAAATAAATAAAAACAAAAGCAGAGAAGTGCTATTATTTCTTAAACATTGAGTTAAATATAAATATGTTGTTACAAAATTAAAGCATGTTAAATATTTTAAATAATTTTTTCTACGACCACTATGTAAAAGTCACTTTTCATGATGGCATCGTTGCTTAGAAAATGAATCTTTTCATTGGCAAGGCAAAACACGAATGTAAAGTGGCATTTCTGTGTGAAAAGTGACAGGTCTGTGTGAAAAGAACCGGAAAGCATCGTTTGACATTCAACTGTCAAAAAAGTTTTTAGGTTATTTTGTTTTGTATTTAAAAATAATAAAAAATAAAAGGGTCGCAGAAAAAACATTGTGTTATACTTGAGAAAAGCTTTCTTCAAGCTCGTGTTAATGCACACTCGGCCTAACGGCCTCGTGGGCAACTTAAAAACTCGCATGAAAAAGTCGCTTTTCAACACTTGTAAAACAAATAACTATTGCCAACTGTCGGTGTCACAAAATTTAGAAAGAAATACTTTTTGAAATACAAAGATGATAATTAATTATGGCAACAATCTAATGTCGGAAAAATTCCCAAATATGTTTAAAATATACACATAAACTAAACACATTGCATTTTGGCAATCGGGATAAAAATTATTTACCATACGTATAATATAAATAACTTTTAGCTTTATTAACTTCAAAAAATTTATTATAATAATAAAAAATAAATGCTACAAAATAAATGTAAATATTTAAAAATTATTATATTTGTAATCCAAAATTGTAGCTCTCCATTATATTTTGTAGACGTTTGTTTTATGTACTCTTTTCTTAAGTCTGTCATTAACAGCAACAAACTGTTATATTTTTTTGGGTCTTTTTTTAACTGAGTAGTAGCAATTCCATATGTAAATCGGAAATTTTGGCTCTTGCCTAATTCTTCTCGTGTCTAATTCATCCATCCATCTTCAAAAATGTAATAAATGCCTATTTCACATCATTTTCTGGGACATGCAAGGGATGCTAGAAGCCACAGATGCAATGCGAAGTCGCTAAATTACTTGGATCGTATACGATCTTTATATACTCTTTTCTTGGGTCTTCATTACCGGTAATATTTTTAGTTTACCTAGGCTTTTCTCTTTTTTTAAGCTAAAAAATATTGAGATATGCAATATATAAGATATATGTAAATTATTGTAACAGCCTTCAACTCTCTTGTTGGTCTCCTTTTTTACTGAGTAGTATGTTATTTGGAAATTTTGGTTTTCTCGTGTCCAATTCAGTTGCCTTCGTAATAGTTTACAATGTCATAAATGCCTGTTCCACATCATTTTCGGGACATATGCAAAGGTTGATAAAAGCCACAGATGCAATGCGAAGTCTCTGTCGTCTGAATCATTCAGACTGAATGTCGTTTTGAAACATATATTTAATATATATAAAATGGAAAAAACATCATTCATTGCTGCTTTTTCAATATCCATAAGGACAAATTGACTTTTTTTAAAAATCATTAATAATTATAATTAAATTTGTCTCCATATAGATTGACTGAAATGGAAAAACATCCACATATTTGGGCATTGGAAATTTCGATGCGTGTGGCGTTCATTGCTGCTTTTTCAAAATCCATTAAGAAAAATTACTTATTTAAAAACTCTTATTAATTATAACATAAAAAACATACATAATAAATTTAAATTTAAATTTTTTTAAAAATATTGAAAAATCTGCGATGAATTGTCGTAGCGATTAATTGTCACGCAATAAACTGACAGTACACCCCAGGTGCTGTTTTCTACAAAAATCACGAATAAGCAATAAAGTGTAAGTAGGCATTATCGTAAGTCAAAAGCCATTTATGATTTCGCCACATAACAGGGCTTATTTCGGATTGATACACGCAAAACGGCGTCTCCTGATTCATTATT